AGTGTTCCTGTATGAATGTGAGTGACGTGTCGGGGAAAGTTCGTCATCACTTACCAGTTAGCAATGAATGTCGGACGTCGCAGCCAGAGCTCTGTCACCCAGGCAGTCCACTGTCTCGTGGTGCGGCGGACGGGCGAGTGAGCGACAAGGAGCGGGAGATCGGAGCGAGAATGAGAGCGAAAGACGGAGTTGAAGAAGTGGAACGACTTGAACCACGGGTGAAGTCGCTCGAGTTCAATCTCCGCTCGAATTCAGTTCGCATCAGACACGTCCTGTCCTAGAATTTCTACAAGTCCCACAAACAGATAGTGGGGACTTGTGTAGCACTCCTTACGCTGTAGTACTACATCTGTTCTGGTTACTCTAATCAATATTATTAATACCTAAAATACTTTGAGGCCTCAAGTCATCCTGTAGTCCAAGGTACAGCCTTTATATGCAGCGCAAGGTATCATCTCTACCTGAGGTTACGAGCTAATGCCCAGTAAAGCCCAAAGAGGATGTCAACTCGGTATCAGGGCGGTCTTGCTCAGATATCCCTCGCTAAGTCTCAAGAAGACGCCGCTCTGACCTCAGCGCTGACATCTCAAATGATGGCGCACACATCTCTGGGCAGAAATGCCGAAACAAGGTCACGTCGGGGTCTACCGGGCCTTCCGAAGCGAGGTCGACGCGAGACCTCGGCTGCGACCTCATGAGAACCTTACGACGCATTGGGCGTGTACATGTAATGTAGGGTCAAATAGGACGTGCTGAATACTGCATCCGAAAAGGGACATGGTGGAATGAAGCCTGATACCGCAATACAGAATTTGCTGGAGGACAAAGTCAGGGAATTAGTCTAGTTGAATATGGTGGGAGAAGCCCGACGAGCGTACAACGGAGGGTGAGGCGGTAATCCATCGACAAGGAACTCAGGATATAGGTAAGGTCGCTCCAACTTAGGGATGCCATACTTTGCTTTAGTCGCCACGGCCGTCGCAATATATGCTTCTCACCATTGCTGATACCGTAGCCGCCATTGCAGCGCCTTGACTAAACCCAAATACGCCCTGAGAAGCAGTTTTGGGTATTGGAGGTTTCCATATATCGAGACTGCAGTTATACCTCGTACTTGTCCCGCAATAGCATGTCGAACAGCTTCCTGATCCCCTTCAAAATCCCAGGACACCGTTTTTGAGACTCCCACATGAACCACCAGGCCCGAGGTGCTTGCGTGAGGTCGGATTGGTAGGATATGTCGTAAGCCGGCTCGACTCCGCTCAATTCGCCGGGAAAGTCAACAGGCCACATGACATGTGGTGCATCGACGAATACTGTGTTGTGATATTAGCATGATGAAGATGGATGAAATGGTCTTGCCTGGACAGACAAGAGGTACGAACCAAATTCAATGGAGGTATCCTTGCATGCCTTCTGGATGGTTTGAGTCTAGACAGAGCATGAGCACTTCGTCAGAGAAATTAGAAAAGAGCTTGCGCGTCTTTGAAACATCTGTGAGTTCTGTCCATAGCTGCGAGGGTGTCGGGAATCGATAGCATAACATCGAGTAGGCACAGACACATACCCATGGAGCATCAAGATATTCCGCGCAGCCGCACCCATTTCTTCTCAGGTTCTTTGCGAGATGGAAGGCTCGCAAGAGGTTGCCACATTTATAGGGCAACTAAGGCTGGACGGGGGCGGGCGACGAAGACTTACTTTGTAACGCTAATGGGACTATTCCATGCTGAGTTGCTTTGCGTAACACGAATCGCTCGAACACCACGGACGGGTGGTAGCAAGAATGTCATGCATGACACTTTGAGAGGCATAACAACGGAGGAGACATGCATGGACCCGGGCACTGTAACATGGCCTTGCGGAAGCACGGCGTGAATGAGAGGGAATGTATGCCGACAGTGTCCTGCTCGGAGTAGGAAGGTGTTTCAGTTTGGCGTCGTCAGACTTGCGGCTTTCATCAGCATCGCCAGCGGCCCTCCACGCCACATACCATGCAAGAATAAGGTGGCTTCAACGATGTCTTAGAAACGCACGAAATGCCGCCTACTCCACTTGGAGTAGTAATTTGGCAAACATCCGGACAGGCTTAGCTTGGTAATTGTGACGCGGACCGGAAGGGTTTTGCTGATCATCAGCAAGCCATGGTGTGTGCAGATTGTACGAGACATGCCCACGTTTTATGGACTTGATGATGTTGTGCTTACAGGCTTTGAGCAGAGTAGCCGGAACGCAATCACGGTTCTGCAGCATCTAGCGAGAGGTTGCCCGGTATATGCGTGAGATGAAGCTGCTCTGTACCAGGTGCGTAAACCGGGAGTCGATCGACAAGAGACTGCAACTCTACGGCAGTGATGTGCCTTGGAAAATGGAGATCAAGAGAGATGTCTAAGGAAAGTATTCGCGAGCCTTTTGCGACGAGGGCAGAAAGTTCTTCATCGGAACCCCACCAGCTCAGCGCGCGGATGTTTGGAAAGACGGGAGATAAGCCGAGAGATCGAAGCGTCCTATAGACAGACCCATGGACCTGTATATGGCCGTCACAGAACAGCTCTTGCACGTACGACGCATATTTCTTGAATCGTAGGGTTTGAGCTGAATCAATATCCCTGGTGAGATACTATAGTGCGGCGGGTCAGCGAACCATACTGGCCAAAATTCGAAGGCACGTATCAGACAACTCACACAGACTTTCCTCTTTTTTTCAAGTCTGTAACCATCGAGGATGCGGAGCAGCTTGTGAAAACCGTAGAGATGTTTCCACAAGACCCTAAGAGCGAGATCTCTGAAAGTCTTGCATGTCAGTGCAGCAGCTACTAAGTTGTCGCAAGGCCAGTGGTCTTCTTTTTCGCGACCATCAGGAAAACCCTCTCCCGCTAATTAGATATAAAAGAGCATAATTGTCAAAAATTATACAGATTATCTCATTATACCCGATTATCACTAAAACGCTAGCCCCTTTGTAATTATGCGTGGTTATCCAACATTTATATCTAATAACATAGCCTTAGACAAGGCACTCTCTTATTTTTATCTCCTTTTATTGACACTGTATAGCATAGATGGGAGCAAAATCCATATCATTGCAGCAAGGGTATTGTGTATACATAGTTGCAGTCTGTATAGAGCAGCCGAAACTGTGATAATCTATCTACACCCAAAATCTAATCCCAGCATGTACGCGAAAGGATCACAATACCTCCAGTGTCTGTAGCAGGAAAGCAAGGGTTAGGGTACTGGATACACACAAGGTAACAACACGATACACACCTTCGACCACAACTTTCAAGTTTCCTCCCAAGGCTAGCCCACACCCAACCCAGCTGCCAAGGCCCAGCGAGCAAGGATACCAACTAACCCACCAG